TCCAAACTAACCAATCAAAAGCGGTTTCAACATTTGATTACTCCCGTTTGTTATGTTTTTACAATCAAGAAATCGTTGAATATATTTATAACAAATGGGTCATTCGCTAAATTGATAATGCAAGAAAAAAATGTTTTATGTATTAAAATGAAATAAAAATAAAATTTGGATTACATTTCAAAAATACATATATTATTTTTTTTTTCATTAAACAAAATAGTAAATACGTACTAGTATATACGGAATATTATATGGTCTTATCGTTGACTTCCGCAATAAGTAGGTCAACTATTTTTGTTTTATCAGATCATTGCTGAGAGAGAATATCATATTTGATTATAATTAGATATAAAATACTAGTATTGTAAATCGTTTCTACACTGCACAATAATTCAAGGGTATATATTTCATTACATTTATAAAGCGTACATTTGTGCAGTGAGACTTGGCTGCTGAATCGAAGTGTAGTTTTACAAGGTTTCACGAGTATATTTTAGTCTTTGGTCATAACGGTATGGTCAGAGACTAAAATTTAAAACCATAACGCTATAGTTCTGCATCTAATTTAGACTCATCTAATATTGATATAAAATGAAATAAATGCTGCATTTATTTTAATTTTTATATTGCCAATCTGTATTGTATACATAATTTTTAATTAATTCAAGAAACCAAAGCCTTAGATGAAGATAAGTAATTAAATACTTAATTTTTATGTATTTCCTCTATCAGGAAAACGAACGCCATTTTTGTTTTTCAATACTACGCCGCCTTTCAAGTTTTACAAAGTAACATTTTCAGTGTGCTTGGAAAGACACGCAGGAGGGGTAGGTAGGGATGGGGTTATTGTCAATATTTAGACACTTGACACTTATTTATAACTTTTTAGGTCACCTGAGTAAACTCAGGTGACCTATTGCCATCTGTTTTCGTCCGTCGTCGTGCGTCGTGCGTCGTGCGTTGTGCGTTAACATTTGAACATTTTCAGCTTCTTCTCTGCAACCACTGAACCAATTTCAACCAAATTTGGCACAGAGCATCTATGGGTAAAGGGGAACAAAAATTGTGAATTTCATGATCCCTGCCCCCCTGGGGCCTGAGGGGTGGGGCCAAAACTACTAAAATTAGTGCAATCTTTGAAAATCTTCTTCTTTACTCCTGGACATCAAGCAGTCAAACTGTTTGCATGATAGTAATTAGCATTGAGTCCTTTACCAAAATTGTGAAATTCATGGCCCTGGGATCAGGGGTACTTATGCTAGGGTGGGGCTAAATAAGTATATAGTGAAAATGCATTATTTCTTTGAAAATCTTCTTCTCTGCTCCTGGGTATTAAATAAACCAACTAAGTGCATAGTTTTAATGAGCAAGAGTGCCTCTACCAAAATTGTGAATTTTATGGCCCCAGGGTCAGGGATTCTGGTGTTAGGGTGGGGCTCTATAGATCATATAGTGAATCGAAAATACATGAATTCTTTGAAAATCTTCTTCTCTGCTCCTAGGTATTAAATAAATAAACTAAGTGCATAGTTATGATGAGCAAGGGTGCCTCTACCAAAATTGTGAATTTTATGGCCCCAGGGTCAGGGGTTCTGGTGTTAGGGCGGGGCTTTATAGATTATATAGAGAAAATACATGAATTCTTTGAAAATCTTCTTCTCTGCTCCTAGGTATTAAATAAACTAACTAAGTGCAAAGTTATAATGAGCAAGAGTGCCTCTACCAAAATTGTGAATTTTATGGCCCCAGGGTCAGGGGTTCTTGTGTTAGGGCGGGGCTCTATTGATTATATAGTGAAAATACATGAATTCTTTAAAAATCTTCTTCTCTGCTCCTAGGTTTTAAATGAATAAACTAAGTGCAAAGTTATGATGAGCAAGAGTGCCTCTATCAAAATTGTGAATTTTATGGCCCCAGGGTCAGGGGTTCTGGTGTTAGGGCGGGGCTCTATTGATTATATAGTGAAAATACATGGATTCTTTGATTTTTTTCTCTGCTCCTAGGTATTAAATAAACTAACTAAGTATATACTATAGTAATGATGAACAAGAATGCCTCTTCCAAAATTGTGAATTTTATGGCCCCAGGGTTGGGTTTCTGTTGTTAGGGCCGGGCTATATTGATATTACAGTGAAAATACATGAATTGTTTGAAAATTTTCCTTTCTGCTCCTAGGTATTAAGCAGGTGAACATACCTATATAGTTATGATGAGCAAGGGTCCTAATCTTCCAGAATTGTGAATTCAAGGCCCCTGGGTCAGGGGTACCATAGACCGGGGGGGGGGTTGTTACTTATATACTAAAAATGAATGAATTGTTTGAAATCTGTTCCTTGGTATTAATCAAATATTTTTGAAAAGCAAGGATGCAATTGTGCAATGTTGGGATCTAGGCCTAAGGGTCAGGGGTTCATGTGTGAAAGGGGCACTACTGATTAGCTGACATGCATTTTTTGCTCCCCTACCCTGCCTTTGGGTATTCAATAACCAAACTAAGCAACTGCTAAGCGTATTGTTATAATGATCAATGGTGCCTCTTTCAAAAATTGTGAATGCCATAGCATCTGGCTTGAAACATGAATCAAATTCAGTCACTGGAAAGTTGTTACATAATGCTCAGGTGACCTATAAGGCCCATGGGCCTCTTGTTTTATATGTCATCAACCCCGGAAACAAAGTAGACAATACAAAAATATATATACTCCAGATATATGTATTCATTTAATATTTTAAAAGCCATAATATAAATTGAAGAATATCTTGCTGATGAAAAATACAATGATCATTTAAATTTCCTTCTAATATATGTAACACTCTTTCTTGCATTGTAATTTAATGAAATGGCTCATTTGTTATAAATATATTCAACGATTTCTTGATAGTAAAATCATAATAAAGGGGAGTAATCAAATGTTGAACCCGCTTTTGATTAGTTAATCTGGATCTTGAATCTCGAATTTCGAATCTCGAATTTCGTATTTCGAACCTCGAATCTCGAATGAGCCTTCTGGGCTTTCGTAGGTGTGCACTCTGAAACAGAATGTAATGTATGACAATAAGCATGTATAGGCATGTCTTTTGTGGGCTTTTTAGTTGGTTTATAAGTTATTTGAGAACTACCTTGAACTATGCTTCTTATACGACCAGTCACATATGCATTCTTCATGTAGTTCAGATCAAGTTGATGTGCAATGGAACTGACAATGGATTGGTCAATGTACAACAACTTTGAATGATGAAATTAGCAAAATATCTGAGAATATAGAGTTTGGAGTATGTGAAATTGAATACATTAAAAATGTGTTACTGTTGAATACTCGATTTATTTCCCATTTATTTCTATTAGCATGTAAGGGTGGAATTTGTACTAATGAATAACCTAAAAGTTTATTAAGATTATTTTCCTTTATTCAAAATTAATTCAAAAATTAATTTTTTGAAACAAAAAAGTATCCGTTAAAAAAGTTGTTTTTAATTGTCATTCTATTTCTAATGTTTTCATACATCTTTCCTCCACAGTCTTTAATGATATATTCTATTATTTTATTTTTTATTTAATTAAAATCACTTTCCCCCAATGCAACCTTTGTTAATTAAGTATTGCTTAGTTAATGAACTTTAAAAACAAAACTTCTCCTGGGAAATCCTTTTTGACTATAAAATGCTTTAATATAATGTCAGAGTATTATATACTTGTTGGACATTTAAGGGTAGAGAATTTTTCCTATAAGGGATTGAAATCCTTAATATTTCTATTTAAATGCTTATTTACAAGCTTTATTTCTGCGGCCCAGTCATTCCTATCTAAAGTCATCGAAAACTCAATCTGAGCAGGTTGATTAATTTTCTTATCAATCTGTGAATTTTAATTTCCTTTCTAAAGGACCAATATGAAGATTGAGACATCCTGAGTTTTAGTAGTTAAAGCTTCTTATTCTAGTGCAACTCTTACGCTCTGTACTAATATAATTTGCTCCTTGCTTGTGACTGAACCCAAACCATTGCCAACCAAATGAAAAAAAAATCATTATTTGTTCTTTGGTCACATTTCCTCCTATTATTACTTTTTGTTTTTACGTGCATGACTTTATAAAATTCAATGAATATATTCTTTTTTACTTTTGAATACTTTGTTACCATAGTACGTTTGTAATAGTTGATTTACCAAACATGTTTATCATGCATTTAAGAAACCAGGCCTTATGCTTTAGAAACCAATCATTGCCAATTGTTTGCTTTGCCGCAAATGTTAACTATGGGGCTCTAAACATGTTAAAAAATGCCATTTTTTGAAATTTAAGACATGTTGCCATGGTTACTATAACACATAGCAACCCATTTTTGCCCAATTTTAGTTCAGGGTATCAAAGACTTTCACCATAGAGAGTTTGGAGAAATTCTGAGACTATGCGTGCCACAGCTCCTATATAAAATTTCAAGTCATTACAGAGAATGGCTCTTAAAATACTCCCAACAATCAAAATAAAATAATATTATCACAGATAATTACCGAAATCAATAACACCAACACACACGTCGTTTCAAATCTTTATACAATTATTACCCTCTATTAAATAGGCACACGTATTTTGTCATAGATATCTTTTTTAAAAATATACGCAAATACTCAAATTTTGAAATCAATGCAGTCAATTAAGACAGTACACTTGAATATCATCTTTCCTGTGTAGGGTAGATAAAAATGCTATAAATGATCCTAACAAAAACACATACAGACACATTTATACTTAATTTAATTATTATTATATGTATTTTATTATTTCTTTTTAAGTGTTTCTTTTAATGATTTTTGCTTATAGACAGGACGAATAGACTACAGTCACTAACTAAATGTAGTGTATAGACAAACTTGAATATGATATAACTATGGTAACAGAACAAAAATAATGATAATTTACGTATATTTGATCATTGGCATTAAATAGTAGGCCTAGTGATTTTTTACGCCTGAAAAATTGCAAATCCTAAAATCCACTTACCATTTATCTGGAGATATGTAATGCTGACCATTTTGTATAGATGTATCCTCTCATTCCACATTCCACAAGTGTAATTCTTGTTCCCGGCAGATTTTCTTATATTCAGAAAATGAAGATTTCCTAAATTATGAAATGAATTTTTCAATAGATGATAATTTATTGATTCTTGCTATAAATATGGTTTCTTAATTGAAGTACAATGTCATTTTATCATTAGTATCATTGTAAGTGTGCGTTGTAGCTTCTGAAAGATTTATTTTTGAAACCTTTAATAATGGATAGTTTAGAATTACCTTCACGATCCAATGTTACAGATTCGTTATATATGACACTTTTTGAGGATCCATATTTAGTTTTCCAATCTATCAAACATTTCGCTTTAGGTTCACAATGTGGTTGATTGAGACAGGGAAGTTTGCAATGATGATATTCCCTGCACGTTTGTTGCACGTTCGATGTTGGAGAAAATTGGTCAAGATCTATAATATTAAGCTAAAGTAACTTTAGTTTTGTTTGTATATAATGTAACAGATGTCAAGCAAAACAAAGAAATAGAAGCAGGACACATTTTGTGATCATGATAAAGCCTTATGATTGAATGCATATTCCGTTTCATCGATGTCGTTGCAATATAAAAGATTAAAAATTAATTCCCTTTGGAATTTTGTTGATTACTTAAAAATGTTAAAATCGTCTGAAAAAAACTTTTTTCAGTAGCAATAAACTGGAATGAATCTTGTATGTGATTATAGATACTGTATTATGAATTCGACTATTATGTAGATTAATATTGTATCTTTGAATAGTTGAATAAATGGTGGAAATTTTCTATTTTCTTTCTCAGGATTCAATAATTCCTGTTGCTACTGCTGTTGTATTCAAAATGTCCAGAACTTTCCAATTATGTTATTCATATATATTGAAGTTCAAAGGTGATCTGAAATTGTTATTTATCAGTTTTCGATCTGACATTATGTTCAAAAACTATAATAATTACTTTACCTGCTTCCGATAATTTGACAAACAGTGAGACTGAAATTCCAAACTTGTTTTGTGCCGTGCAATAATAAACACCAAAGTCCTCTTTTTCTAGATTTCTGAAGATGATTTCACCAGTTGACGGATTATAGGAAACTCGATCATTTTCCACAATCTTTGAATAATTTTTATGCCACTGATACCTAATTAAATGTATTAGATGTAAAAGATTGAGATAATCGTATTCTATTTGACATAATTAACTACTGTAAAATCACATATTTTCGTGGGGTAAAATTTTCAAAATAAAATAAACAAAAATTTAATCCCAACGAAAATCTTTGATTTCATAGTATTTAGCTTTTCATTATCGTCATTTTACTACTGCAAAGGTATAATAATCTGATACTAACCTGAGTACGTTGTATTTGGCTGAACAAAACAAGGATAATGGAGTAGAATAAAAGATGGGTACAAAATACTCCGGTTCAAACTCTGATGTTATAACAGGAGGCAAATTAATAAGCTCTGCTCCTAAAATCAGAATACCATTTTTGTTTAACTTTTCAATCAGGATAAGTTTTTATAACACAAAGAAAAACCATTTTTACCTTTGCAGAAGAGGGCTTCATCTCTGACACAAAGGAAAATGAGGCAGATCACAGGGCTCTCCATCTTGAATCCTCAAATATTGTACTTTGAAGTAAAACTAAAGTGTAAAATTAATATTTCTAAGTCGCTTTTTGTCGTCTGCGCTAAAAACAAATGGACAATAGATAAAATAGGAAACAAAGTTGTGGAAACTGTCAATGGATAATGCGGAAGAAGTGCTCTTTATGAATTTGCTAGTTATATACTCACCCATTACAAGTATCTTCCTCGTACAATTCGTGAAAGATAGAATTCGAATGTACTATGGAAAAATTGGATTTCGTGGTGACTCAATTTATGCGGAATTGGTGTTTACCTCTGATACAAGAATAGACATTCTCTGCAAATTCATAAATTAGGGTTACAAAGTCTTATTTCCGTATGCAAATATAAGAGACTACGAGAAGTTACGTCTCCATGAACCTGTAGGAGATTAAACAAATCCACCAAAGTTTGTCCTTACGAATTTTAATGAATTCATAAAGTAACTTACCACATTATGCAGATTTCTAATACTAAATAAAGCAGGAGTATAATGGGGTTTTATTTAGCATTGAACGTTATATCATATTGGATCCAGTGAAAAGACTGAAGGATGGCTGGTGTAGAAAGATGGCGGACGGTGGCAGGAAAAACCTTTTACTTTTTAAAGAGAGATATTTTTTTCCTTATTTTGACATTAATTTTTATTTTGAGTGGAACTTGTGAAACGTGATTAAATATTTTTCTTCAAAACATTGAACACCGAAGTTTATTACTGATTTTTAACAAATCATTTCTTTTACAGTTACTCCACATTGTGGTATTAATGTTTTCCTTTACAAACACTCTCTAAAACAATTTGTTCATTGTAAAAGAATGATTTGAGAAAAAAAATATATTTCTTGGAAACTTGAGCAGGATAGAAGCCAAAACAAATATAACCACAGTTTAACACCTTGATTTATTCAGGTTAAACGGTTTTGAAGAGAAATATTCAATACTCTTCACATTCAAAACCAATGACTTGGCATGAGAATTAATTAAAAAAAGTTTCTAAGAAGTTAAGAATATAAAATAATTATTGTAAGATTTCAAGTGAAGCATCAGAAGACAGTTTACTTCTCTATGTAATTGAGAGTCTCGTAATTATTAAAGGTCAAATATCAAAGAAATATATATACTTGTATATAATATATGTTGTAAACAATGGTTAAAAAGAAGGAATTACAATATTCGTTTAATTTTAAACCTCGTTTTTCTTTATTTACCTGTTCAAATATCGCTAAAAATAACATTCATCAAAAGACTTACTTCCCCTTTTTGTGACGTCATTAGAGACACTCGACAAAATCTAGTTACATAAGTATATAGTATAAAGTGCTCTTGATTATCTAAAATTATAGCAAATTTGGGGGAACAGAAATGTTGATATATCAGAGTTATGCGTAGATATGTCTGTTAAGAATAGGCTTTGTATATTTGAGTGAAGAAAGTACGCAAATTGATTATTCTTCTTCGACCGATTCTGTTTCGTCGGAAGCCAGTATGGGTGAAAGTGGAAATTAAAATAACAGAACTGACAAGAGATCATCGCAGAAGCTAAAAAAATTTTCATAAACGTAATTTGTATTTAATGCCTTTTATTTCAAGAGTGTGCTCAATATTTCCGCAAAAAAATATTTAACTGCGGAAAATTGATTTCATGTGTTGTTTCTTATTCATCATATAGGACCAGAACTTTTACATAGTGAAAAAGTATAGAATTCTTTTTTTTTTTCACATTGCATAGCCGTTTGAACCGGGCACACAGCGATTTTTTTTATATTAAGTATACTATAATGAACAATGAACGGAACAACAGAAATTACGTCATCGTCGGATATATCCGTGGGAATCCGAAGATGTAGCTATCACGGGTGCTTGGACACCACCCCCCCCCCCTCTCGGTTGGTCCGTACCCCATTGGGTTTTTTAACTTTAAAATAATATTTTTCTATGATATATTCATAAAGTATTACAACCGAAAAATCCTAAATTTAAGGGGAAAGAAGGCTAGTTTAAGCCTTTTATAAATACATACCCTCTGATACTAAAACAGAACGTTCTGTTTAAGTATCAGAGGGTATGAATTTTCCCCTCCCTAAGCACCTGTGGTAATTAAACATTTGTCTGGAACCTTTTTAATTTATGCGTAACAGGTAATTTTTATTTGCCCCCCTCCCGAAGTAACATTTCTTTGTTGTCCCCCTCAACGGTTATAAATTGCTTCATACAGGCCTGACAATTTTTGTCACATAGCACTTTCATTTTCAGAATATTTTAATATGAATTATTTCACCTTAATTTAGTTAAGAAAAAAAGAAAACAAAACTATTTTAAGTATACATTCTGATTTTATATGCTCTTGTGGTAACTATGTCAAGACACCAGCACAAGAGAAAATAAGTGCTGGAGGAAAACAAAACTGCGGGCAGAAAATTGAGGAACAATCACTTGCGTGCATGAACACTGAGGTTTTATTGCTTGAATAAATATGTAATGGAAACAATTCTAATATAAAATTTTCTAGAAAAGGGACAACTGGAAGTAAATGAACGCACTCTTGACTAAGTATTTTCTGAGACAGATATCATGCGCGGATTTAGAGGTGGGGGGGGGGGGTCCGGGACATACCCCATCCCAACTGAGATTTTTTTTAGACACGATAACTTGGTATAGATAATCAATTTCTTGTCTATTCTACCACACCTTCCGTTTTTTGTCAGTCAAGTTTTAGAGATTGTTCCTTCATAGTACATGTATATGAATATCTTTATTTTTTTTTTTACTCCAACCTGTTAGAGGTTTACGCCGAAATACATGTACTTTTGACTTGGCGCCGCGTAATGTTCAGTCATGTATATATACCGAGTGCATGCTCTAATGTAAAGGGCGAACCTCTAAAAGTTGACAAAAGCGGAAAATATAAAATATCGAAATATTGGTATGACGGACAAGGAATTCATGTACATTTTGCTTAGTTTTATTTTCAGTAGGGGGGAAGGGGCAAAGTACATGAACCAATCGTCATGTACTTGTGATCTTGTTGAGTACTGTTACAAGAATAAAAAAAAACTTTACCTCAAAACAGTATTGTGGCTATAAATACCTAAACTGACAAATTGAAAAATGCAATTTAGATTTGAAAGAAATCCGAGAAATGCGTGAGATAATTTTATAATTAATCGGATTTATGCAGTGAATACTATATAAATCCATTTATCACAGCGCCCCACGCGGTATGATGCGCGCGCACTATACGCGCAAAGCATTGGAACAGTCAATTATAAACTAACCTCAAAGATACACGTCTTAATTGAGTGCTGTTAATTTTGAGAAATATTTTCAAATTCTTTCAAATGCTTTCTTTGGAGAGATGCCCAAGCGCAAGTCGTCCGAAACTGTGGTTACATCCGCAAAAAAGTCCACCAGAAAAGAAAAAGCTGACACCAAACCCAACCAAAAGAGGGGGAAAATGACAACCGTACTATTCACAGCATGGACGAGGACATTAAAGAGTCCGCTAGCTCAGTAGGTAAGTCTGACTACTTACCAACGCCTATTGTTAGTGTTACTGATGCATTGGGTTGCACCATCCCTTCAAAAACACGCGGAAAAATACAAAATGGGGAGTATTTAGATCTGGGCGTCCTGTTAGAAACGTCGGGAAAAAGGGACAAGAAAAATAAGATAAACCTAGTGGACGGGGAACTGGTCTTGCAAAAGGCGAAAAGTGGCAAAATCAGCGATATCGGGAAATAAACCGACGCGTTCCTTGTATTTACTAGTATTTACGTCGAAGCTCACCCCGATCAATCACTTGGTTAACTTAAATATATGCACACGGTTAGACTGGGTTTTTATAGATCTCCCACCGGCTGGAAATTGTACGACGAGCAATTTAGGCTTAAGAAGGCAAGAAATAGTTCTATGGCATTTTGCAAATCGACAATGAACTTTGGATGTTATACGTAACTTCACCGATTACTACTCCCCAAAAAACAGTTGAACCGTCAAAAGGCATGTGTTTTGATTTTAACTACAAGGGTGCATGTAGTAAACCCTATCGTATTTACGCACATCGTTGTATTAGGTGTGCATCCGACCACCCAATGTCCATTTGTCCTCGTAACCCAGCCCCTCGCTTCCCCATGTAAAAGCAGCCTTTTCGTTTTCAATCACCAAATCTGCAACCTCGGTCATTCGCCAGTAGACATTAATCAACTTTCAATATTGATACAGTCGTACCCAAACCATGATTTAGGTAATGAGTTGTTAAATGGGTTTAAATTTGGATTTCCCCTTCAGTATCTAGGCCCACGCACTCACTTGGGGTGTAAAAATTGGCTTGGGGTAAAATGCTGAGTGGAGTGGAGTGGAGTGGAGTCATGGAGTGGAGTCGTGGAGTGGAGTTTTATCATAACAGTACAGAAAGTTATACAAACAAATTGATTTCTCTTACAATCACTCCTTTGCAACATAGTTTTGGGTTTATGATTGCCAAATGAAAAAAAATAAAAATAATGACCTTTAAATGTGACACAAGGATTAAGACTAGACTGCCGTTCACTATCAATGCACATAGGCAAAGCTATGTGTTGTTGACAGCTTTTAGGTTACACACGTGACAGCAATTATTTTTGATATGAAATATGAAATACCAGGTAAAAAATGAAATACCAGGTAAAATGCAAAATAACATTTGCACACATTGTACTTTTGTATTTTACAATTGTGCAGCATTCATAAACATAAAATTTCATCTTTTTAGGCTTGATAGGGCGATGTCTTTTAATTCCCGTTGAAGATCAGTATTGTCAATATCTGATCAAAGATTGAAGGCTTATTTTAATGAAAGTTTCTCACAACATTAAAGTGTATACCCGGTATCTGTATGAAAAAATATCTTATAAATTTATTGTTTTATGCTTATCTTCAGTTGCTGTTGTATTGCTGTATTTGTATATTACATCCATGCAGTCTTATTTACCACCGAAAACAGTGATGGAATTTATTTAATTGGAAAATGGGAACGCTAAAAAATGTCACTCCCTCTAATGAAGTGCTGAAAGATATTGGTTACTCATTGTTTTTGCAAAGGATCCTAAAACAGGATGCTGTCAACTTACAGGTTCTAGTGTTACAGTGACATAGTTATTTGCAGTTATAGACAAATCTTTCAATGCCTCTTTATTATTGCATTAAAGTTTGACTTTGATGTTGCTGATGCAACAAATATTTCCCATATTCGTTACAATATAAAAGTACCTTAACAAAATTAAACTTTTATTCCCTTAAAAATCTTACAACGTACAAACATAGCAGTCTTACGGCAATTTTCTTCCAATTGTGAAAAAAGATGTCAAAGAAGTTTTTCCTGCAAAAATCCTATGCAGATGCTGTGCGAGGTAAGGGCAAACAGATAATTTTGCTTTTCCTTTAAAATGTTTTCTTTTTCAATTCATTCAGTAAATTAGTTATATATATATACATTTGAATTTCAGGTTCACATGTGTCAGAAGAAAATACTTCGGAAAGTGATGGGGTTCCTGGGGAAAGTTTATTGAAACCAAAATACATGTGTTTTTCATACACAAATCTCAGCAGCTCAGATTCATCAGAAGATTTGCCAGCCCTTGTCAAGAGCAAAAAACCGTTAAAAAGAAAAGGAAAAAACACGAAAGTCCTTCAAAGAAAATCTGTTTTCAAGATGAAATAATTGAAATATCAGATTCTTCCCCAGAGAAATCGCCAAGAAAAGTTGCTTGCTCTTCTTTGAAAACAGCAGCAAGAAGGAGGCTTACTGGTCAAGATGCAGAGAAAAGCCACAATGAACTTGATGAAGTTCACATTTTGTCTTCGTCTTCTGCCGACGAAAAGTCTCCAGAGAATCCAATCTCAAGTATTTCAATAGCGTCAGCGAAGGATTCTAGCGTTGATTCAGATTCCAATTCTCTCCCTTCTTTTCCTGACAAAGAGGAAAGGTCTAAAGTTCAAGACTTTGGTTCAGCTGAGGATTTTTTCCAGGGTGATCCATTAATGCCTGTTTACAAAAGACTCTCAAAAGGTATTGAAACAAAAGAGGCGAATAAAGTGTTACTACAACACAGTGACGGAAGTTCTATAGCCAGGAACATTCAATCACAAATAAATGAAAATGTCTCCTTTTTATACAGTGTCAAATTCATCGGTCATTGGAAAAATACTCTGTGTGACGGAATGGACTCTTGGAAACAGACGGGAAAACAAGTTTCACTGATAAATATTTCTGAAATTGATTTTGAAAATTTCAAATGACGTGAAAGAAGTTTTGCATGGAAATAGGGTGCTAAAATCTATACGACATAAATATGTGAATAATACATCCCCTGACCTCCACAGAATAATTTTACACATGGAAACAGAAGATGGGACTGTGCTGGACCTAGTTTTTGCACAGTACTACTTTGAATATGAACCTCATTCTTTTATACCAAATCCACACAAAAACAGTAAACAGCTGGAAAAATATCAGAGAACCAGTGAGAGTACTAAAAGGAGGATTCAAACTTTAGTTGATGAAAATAAACGCCCAAAAGACATTTTTCATTCCATAATAGAAGAGCAAGGGGGCATAGAGCATATACCCGGTGGATTATTTCTTCCTCGAGACAGACAACAGATCAAAAATTTAACAAAAATGAAAAAATCAAATACAGGAAATTTTGATTCACTGGCAGAACTTTTGGACATGGCAAAAGCACAGGAGGAATCAAAGGATAAATTTGTGCGAGAATTAAGATGTGCTCCTGAATTTACAGTGTTTTTAGCATCAAATCGGCAGCTTAAAGAAATGGAGAAATACTGTACAAATGCAAAGAACTTCTCAATACTGGGCATTGACACTACCTTTAATATAGGTGCCTTTTATGTCACGGTTACAAATTATCGAAATCCAATGTTAACAAGTAAAAATGGTAATGAACCAGTCATGATTGGACCAATTTTGATACACCAGAAGAAAAACTTTGATAGTTATTTTAAACTTTCATCCTCCATTCTGCAAATATGCCCAGAAATGAAAAATTTAAAGGCATTTGGAACTGATGGAGATAAAAATTTGTCTGATGCCTTTGAAGTTTGTTTCACATCCTCAAAACATTTATTGTGTGACATCCACATGCAAGATAACATAGAAAGAAAACTGAAAGATCTAGGAATAACAAAAAGCAAAGCCAGGGAATATATTGATGATATTTTTGGAAAAAGAACTGGGGAAGTAAAAATTAAGGGATTAGTGGACTGCATGAGTTATGAAGAATTCGACCATGAACTGCAAAATTTGTGTGCAAAATGGAAGTCATTACATCAAAATGGAAACTTATTCTTTAAATATTTTGTTGAATTCAAAGCAGAACTAATTAAAAGTTGTATGTCTGCAGAGTTGCGAAGTCTTTCAGGTCTTGGTTTTCTTCCAAAACCCTACAACCAAAATGCTAATGAATGCATGAACTCGGTCATTAAAAGTGACCTTAAAAAGGAAGGTCACCACTCCAAAATCAATGAAAAAGAAGTCGTTCTAGCCTTGGAGAAAATAGTAAAAAGGCAAGAAGCAGAAGTCAAATTGTCTTTAATTGGAAAGGGGGAGTATCGTTTGAAGAAAGAATACCAACATCTTCAAGTGCCAGATAACATATATTGGAGAAAAACACCACTTCAAAGAGAGGCAGTTTTTACAAAGTTAGTATATTTATTTATTTTGTCTCTATTATCTGTCATATTTACTCACCACCATTCTTAAAAGTAATTATAATTCATTATTTAACAGGATGTTGAAAGAACCATTACAAGCTCAGGGAGGGGACGTCATGTGTCACACAGATACAGATCAAGAAATTGAAAATCTTCAAGAACATCCATCACTTCCCGTTTCACCAGAGAACAGCCAAATCACTAACATTCCATTTCAAATTTTGAAAACTATATTTGAGGAGGCTCAAACTATTATACATTCTGTGAATGGGATAGTTGAAATGCCTGGATACACAGACAGATCATCTTTATTCATATTGAACGTTTCACATCCAAAGGATCCATATAAAGTATGCAAACTGAAAACTACAAGCTTCTTTACCTGCGAAAATAGATGCCATCGGTTTTCCAGTTTTAAATTGTGCAGTCATACGATCGCTGCTGCAAACTACTGTGACATTCTTCAAGACTTCATCAAAATTTACAATGAAAAGTATAAAACCTTAGGTCCTAGTCTTACTAAAATGGCATTAGCAAATATGCCAAAAAGTAGAGGTCAAAAGCCAAAAGGAACTTCAGTAAGAAAGGGTCAGAATAATAAATGCAATACTGAAATTATTGAATTTGAAACACCACATAGACCTTCCCTTGAGCAACCATTTCATCTCACATTTTTGGCTGGAATAGTGAAGAAATGTTATGGATGTGGACAGTGTTTTTCTGATAGACATAGGTCACCACCAAATGATCTTATTTTAAAACGCTTTGACCATAGAAAGTATTTAAGTCCAAACTCTAAAACCTATAAAACAACACCAACGTTGCAAAATACATATTATCATCTAAATTCAGACTGTTGTAGAAGAACATGTCCTTTGTTTGAAATTTCAAGAGACGTTATTGTTCATGGAGAAATCATGTGTCAGTTAACTGCAGACCATAAAAATGTATTACAAAAGTTAAATATATCCATTCAGTAAAATGCATCTACTGTATTTGTAAACCATACTCTTGGAAAAGTGTGTAAAATGTTTTGCTTAAAGTGCAGTTTTTAACCTTTAAATTTACAATGTATATTTTAATACAATTGTATTTGTTAATAGAACTGTAATCAATAGAACTCTTCAATGATGATGACATTTGCATTATGTAATATGAAAAAAAACTAATTGAGACAGCCATGTCAAAGTTTACTATAGAGTATTGTAAATTTTATGAATATTTGTAGTTATTACTACTGAAATTTTAGAACAAATGAAATGCCAAAAACATGATACAGATCTTGTATACATATAATGTATTAATTGTTTTTATTCCGATTTATTGAAACCAGGTTGTTGACAAATATTTTTTACTCATGCCTGGGTGAAATTTGCTGCTCAATAGTTTCACAGAAAGTTTGGTTTACTGACTAAGCACATTTCAATGCAGTAATTAAATCTGTCAAGACTTCTCGCCTATCAGGATAAAAGTGAGTGCACAGTTCACTCAGTCTCTGTTTTTCAAAACAATGTGCCAAATGATCAAGCCATTCCCATTGTTGACATTTGAAGGTCAGAAAATTTTGTCAATATGGGCTATACAAATTAAAAGTGCATTAAAGCCTTCGTGATCACTAAAACAATTATAACTCTTGCAGATAGAGGGAGGGCGTATTGAGGAGAGTGACAGGAAATAATTTTTCTCATTTCTATTTTCTGTTAAAATTTCATGTCTTTACACAATTCTAAATATATTTTTTGAAGAATTTCTGCAAATTTAATCAGAAAAGGGATGGTGAAAAATGTACAAAGAGTGAAAAAATATTAATACAGAGAGAGGAAAACTAATGACAATCAATTCAGCAAATATAAACAAAGAGGGTGCTTTGTACTTTAATAGTACACAAGATGTGTTTGTGAAACAATGATACCCCCGTATGGTTGCTTGTGGCGAGGGTTGAATTTTCTCAATGCATATCAAACTGGAAAATCAGTTTCAAGAGACCAAAATTGTTGGTACCCAAATGAAGGTTTTGTCACAAGGAAAACACTTGTCAAATATGAAAGGCCTCATTCTTAGTGATCAAAACGTATGGCCAAGGTTAGATTTAAAAAAGATTAGGATCAAACTTTAAGGCCAAGGTAAAAGATATACATACCCAAAAGTAAGGTTTCACAATAAGTATGTTACACCACGTTATAATATATATAATTAATTTGTGATATTTTTGGGGTAAAGGTGGTTCAAACATTTAGGTCAAGACCAAGGTCAAATTTGGTGGTACCCAATTGAAGCTTTGTCAAAAGAGGTTTGTCAAAAGAAAGACATCTTTGAAATAATATGAAAGCCATATAGCCCCACCTACTAAAAAGTTATGAGCAAGGTTAAAGTTTTTGCAGACCTACAGAGAGTGGACAGTGCAAAAACTATATACCCCCAAATCTTTGATTACATGGGCATAAAAAACTTATTATGTACATGTACATGCATGCACAAATCCTGAAGTGAATTCATATAAACTTTTACAAAATATTAAAATATTTAGGAGGGGTCCGTGTGTTTCCAGAATCAAGGGTAGGTTTTACATTAGGTTAAGAAACTTTAAGACTTTAAGAAATTCTCTGACCAAACACGCTTTCCATCTCTATCCAAAGTACAATAGTTAAATACAAATCATGCATTTTAATCAAGTAGGTATGTTCTCAGTGCAGCTGTAAAATAATCTAATAAATGCTCTTAATCTGTCTGATAACAAAGCTGTCAACGCCTCTAAATAGGTTTGTTGGTTTGGGACAGGAATACAGTCATACTTCAACATTCATCTGAACCTAGTTTTGATAGTCTTTGTTATGTGAACCTCCACTGACATTTAAAGGTCATAAGCTTTTCATTTACTTCCTTATAAGAAATTTTTGTTTCTTATTTCATTCTTTTAAAACAATTTCAAAAACACATCTAAAGGAATGATTGAGTGTAAGAGAAATCAATTTGTTTGCATAACTTTCTGCAATACAGACTCCACTCCACGACTCCACTCCATGACTCCAGGACTCCACTCCACTCCACTCCACTCAGCATTTTACCCCAAGCCGTAAAAATTTAATTTCGGCAAACCAGTATCCGAACGAAATCCAGAATATATTGCAAAGTCAAATTGGGCTTGGGGTAAAATGCTGAGTGGAGTGGAGTGGAGTGGAGTCGTGGAGTCATGGAGTGGAGTGGAGCCTGTATTATAACAATACAGGAAGTTTGAGAACAAAACAATTTCTTTTGCATACAATATCTCCCCTTCATTGTCGTTTTGGATTTGTGTACACTGTACCAAGAATGAAACAAGAAACAAAAGAAGTCCATGCAATCAAAAACTAACGACCTTTCAATGTCAAACAGAGAATCACTTAGAAATGCTTTATATAAACACTATCTAAACTTAGCAAGACTGTTTGACCTTATTCGCCTATCCCAAAACAGGCAAACCTAGCAAGAGGTGTTGACAGCTTTAATACCAAACAGAGAAAGAGCACTGCACTGCAGAACTGATGACAGCAATTTAATGAGAAAGGCACATTTTTTTTCATTTTACAATTAAAGTGCAAGATAGCCCCTTTGTTGGAATTTGAAGGTCACATTTTTTTCTGTATCTCTATCTTCTTAACACATATCTTCCTTTTCTGGTTAAAGTAGAGGACATGCTACAGAATAGAGTGTTAAGACTCGACTGATAAATACATATCAGCCATTTGATCTCTTGAAGTTTAATAATTGACCAGGATTAATTACTAGACTTAAAATAAATATAATTACCGGAATTGAAAACCTTAAAAAGTAAAATATTTATTGAAATGAGCTCAACAACTTGTGTGGTTTTTTTTCATTGTAAAGTACGCATTGTGCATTTTAAACGATGACACACAATTAACTTTAAATAAAATTATTTTACCCTTGTTTTGTGAAAAGGGAGCTGTTTTGATTTATACCTATAATTAGTTTCACCAATATTTGATCAAGCTTGTTTTATAAATGTAACTCATAACAAAATTAATACATATGATAATTAAGTAATGTCCCCACCCTAAAACAAGTGCTTTCCTTTTATTTTGCTGATCAATGTATAACATGCAGTCTATCAACCAGTATATGTATCATTGAGGCGATAATTTATTATTGATGAAAACATTTTGACAGAATTCATTGGGACTTTAAAAGAATGTTTATCCCTATAGCGATGTGATGAAATGTATTTGGTTACTTCTGATCATAAAGATGTGTTGTAAACTTAGTTATTTATATCTTATTGATTAATTATTATATATACTGTAGTTGGAGGGGCAGATATAGTAACACATTTGTTTGTTTTAGTTTGTGTAAGTTAACAGGTGACATCATTTAGATTTTTTTGCTGACTAAAGCAATATACCACTTAATTAAGTTCTTTTTCAAGCAAATTTTTATTTACAATCAACAACTGAGTAAGCATTTCAAGCGCAGTAATTAAATCTGTCAACACTTCTCGCCTGTTGGGATGGGAGTGCATATGGGTCACTTGGTCTCTGTTACTCAAAACAAAAAGTTATTCCCATTGATGTGTTGACATTTGAAGGTTATATCCCCCCCCCCCATTTTCTCATTCATCTACAATATATATGAACTATTATTGTAACAGTCTCTCAATGATCACAGACAGCTATAGCTTGGCCATATAGAGTTGAAAAGGAAAGGAGGGATTGCGTTTGATTACCTGAGTAATTTTTTGAATTCCATAGCTCTACATGATCTACTATATAGTAACGTTCTGTAGTGTTTCCTACAATTTACCAATGCCTGCTAACCTCTACGCACAAAAGCAGAGTTGTAAATATTTACACAAAATGAGAAATAACAAACAATTAAATAAGATAGTTTTACTTTTAAAAAATAATTTAGATAGAGATTGAAAGCTACCGCATTATATAATACATTAAAATAAAATAAAATTGATTTGGATGTAATGATTTTTTGACAAATCATTTAATATTTTGTACATTGTAGCAAACCATAAAATTTTAAGAACAACACAAAGTTGACAACATCCTGCTTGAACTAGTCATCTTTTTAAAAATAAAACTGAATAACCAAATACATTTCAGCAAATCGCTATTGGGATAAACTTTCTTTTAAATTCTCCATTGACTGCATGTTATATATTGACCAGCAAAATACAACGAAAGCACTATTTTTCCCCATTACTTATGATATGTATAATTTTTGTTCTGGTCACATTATAAAATAAGCTTGATCAAATATTGGTGAAACTAATTTTGTGACTAATTGTATGTTGTTTTACATCCCTCTCGAGAATTTAAGCTCATATTTAGACCCCATCACCTGCGGATGGAGATTGAGCTGTAATTTTTGTCCTATACTCGCACTATACTTGATCATTGAGCAGTGAAGGGTATTTTTCGTGCTAGTAACTACTGCGACAAAGTACAATGGACATTGATGTTTGCGTTCTCATCTGAAAGACTGGTCTCTGTTTAGTCCCACAGCGGAATTCAAACCCATAATGTAAGGATCAGCTCCTTACTGCGCGACTCAGAGCAGACACTCCAATCACAGTGCCACACGGGTGACAAAACTAATTATAAGAATGAAGTATCACAAGTTCCTCTTCAAGAAACATAGGTTAAAAATTTGAAAAATAAGTAATGCATCATCGTTTAAAATGTGTTTCAAAAATCAGACATAGCAACACCAGTTTCTCAGCAAACATTTCAAAAAATATTATCCATTTTATGTTTCACAGCTGTATGATATGTATTTGTCAGTCGAGTCTATTAACACCTACATTCTGAAGCATGTCTCCTAAAAGGGATATATGCATGTAAGTATTTAGATATATATGTTTATATACAAAGATAGAGATACAGAAAAAAAAATTGTGACCTTCAAATTCCAACAAAGAGGATATCTTTAATAGTGAAACCTATTTTTTAAAAATATGTGCCTTTATAATTATGTAGTTGTCATCAGTTCTGCAGTGCTCTTTCTCTGTTTGATATTAAAGCTGTCAACACCTCTTGCTAGGTTTGCCTGTTTGGGATTGGCGAATAAGGTCAAACAGTCTTGCTAAGTTTAGATAGTGTTTATATAAAGCATTTCTAAGTGATTCTCTGTTTGACATTGAAAGGTCGTTAGTTTTTGATTGCATGGACTTCTTTTGTTTCTTGTTTCATTCTTGGTACAGTGTACACAAATCCAAAATGACAATGAAGGGGAGATATTGTATGCAAAAGAAATTGTTTTGTTCTCAAACTTCCTGTATTGTTATAATACAGACTCCACTCCACGACTCCACTCCATGACTCCACGACTCCACTCCACTCCACTCCACTCAGCATTTTACCCCAAGCCGTCAAATTGATATGTGAGTCGCATGGCCGGCCCTCTCTACAATCTACCACTTTCGAATCTAAGGGCGTCCCCAATAGGCGTCGTGCCAAAATCTAGCGGGGGTGGCGTTTAATTACTCATCTGTCATATCCACATAACAATAGCATCAACGACTTCATTGATAAAGAACTTTCATCTGTACACTACTCATCATTCGATAGCGCTATCAAAATGATAAGTCAGCTCGGAAAAAGCTCTTTATTAGGCAAAATGGACATAAAACTGCATTTAGACGTTAACCAATTCAACCATATGAGTTTTTGTTTACTTGGCTTCAAATTTGAGGGTAAATTCTAAACTGACAAATGTTTGCCATTTGGTTGTTCTATATCATGCGCTACATTTGAGAAATTCGCGTCATTTTTGGAATGGACCGTTAGGTCACAATCTGCTTGCCCGCATGTTACGCAGTATCTTGACGACTTCTTGTTTGCTTGATCAGCGAAATCCGACGCTTGCTCAAGACTCATGAGGCAAATTGGGGAGTTATGCAAAGCACTGGGAATTCCTCTTGCCATCAATAAAACTGTCGACCGGCCAGGCGCGTAGCCAGGCGTACGTTTGTACGCAAAAACGTCCACATCATTTTAGGGAAAAAACATGAAAAAGGAGAGAGGGAGAGGCAGGCGAAGTTTTTATGCTCTTAAATAATTTTGCAATAAATAAATACTTTTGAAATTAAAGAAATGTTTAGAAACAATTTAATAAACGATAAATAATAGAGAGGTTAAGCATTTGACCGTGTACGTCTACTTGTACATGTAAACCTAGAAGTGATTTTACACGTACGCTTTGGTATCATCGTGTTCTGTTTAACAAATTGCACGTGTACCGGTACGTGTAAAACGTCATTTTAGCAAGGCACTCTAAAATCCATTTGTATCAAATAAATCTATGACTTGAAATAAAAAAGATACATTGGATGTACGTAATAAATTCTCAACTTCATACCAAACACCGGCTGAAAAATATATATTCTGTAGTTTGAGTTGAAGAAGCTACAAGTTCTCACCTACGTATACTTGCAAATCTACACGTTGAGTACAACTTGTAGAATTACGCGGTATGCAAAAGTGATGACGTAAATCGCATTAAATCAGGGGCTTTCCCTAACGTTGACGTACATGGTCGTCTGCTTAACCTCTCTAGTAACTGAAATTAACAGAAACAGTTTCGGAGGAAAATATGATACATGTAGTAGACATCTCTATTTATGAAATCATTAGATTTTCCTTGAATCTGGTTTACGTATTGCTGATTTTTTTCTAAGTGCATTATATTCTCATATACATGTACCACTCCAACCAATTAAATTATCATAAGTATTTTGTCTCTTCAAAATTCTAAAAT